CCCCTAATTGTCGGAAACTCCCACGTCAATCAATTCGTCGACTCTATAGTTGTCAACTCTGAGCCAATCCGCTCAGCAGGTGATGAGCGAGAAAGCGACGAGACCACATCCAATGAGGCTCCTTGGGCGTAGGCTAAGAAGGAACGCGTCAGTACTTAACCTTTATCCTTTCTGGGGTACTAGATGGTAGTAGAGTCCCTATTTGTTCCCTAGGATACTGGACAAGAGAGATACTGATGCAATATAATTAATGGCAATGCACATGGCAATGAGAAGTGTTTACGGCGTGTCTCATGAGCTCTTGACGAAGAGGAAGAAAAAAAGCATTATTGGTGATCCCTGAGAATAGGCTGCAGCTACATAGTTAAACCTACTTATCTTGTCCGTTAGGTGAGACGTCTGGTTTCGGTGATGTTAGTTTCCTCCAGATGTTATCATTTTCGTGGGCGTGTCACAGGGTTCCTTCTTGGAGCAGCTATCCGCGAGGCTACGGCCCACGAGGATGGTCGAGAGTTGCTTCTTATCAAGTACCATGGGTGCTGGTACTATAGGGGCCTAAGTAATTGCCNNTCTTTGTTATAGTTATAGTATAATATGCCCCAAAGCCCTGTTCTAACTATTAAGGCCCCTACATAACAGCCTCCTCCCCCAGCATGCTCAAAATGCCGGACTGCATACGATCCACGTCTCTAGTCACCCTTCGACAGCCCAACACACAGGGCAAGCGCTAGACTCGACCATGAACCTTAAACCCCTTAACCCCTAAGCCCGTAAACCCTAAACCCTAAACCCCTAAACCCCTAGACCTAAACCCTAAACCCCAAAGCCCTAAACCCTAAACCCCAAAGAACCATTCAATTTCAACTCTGGGCGCTCTGTTGCAGCCGCTGTTTACCAGGCATCACACCACCCCGCCAGGATCCTAGTTAGGAACCCAAACAGGACAGAAGCATAAGCATTATATAGGGATATCCCTACCTTTTTGGGCTTCATTATTACCTGTAGTCTTCATTGTAGTTCCTTTTTGGGAATACCTCATAAAATCCTTCATATATAATTGGTTAAACCAAAAAAGGAACTACAATGGAGACTATATAGGTAGGGGATCTATATGGGAGATCCCTATCCTAATTTGTGCTTAGGTGCCTTTTATGGGGGGCCCTACCTAGGAAAATTCTGGAAAGCCCCCGGCATCCCTGAGTCCTTGGAGATCTGGTTTAGGGTTTAGGGTTTTAGGGTTTAGAGTTTTAGGGTTTTGGGGTTTATGGTTTTAGGGTATAGGGTTTTAGGGTTTAGGGTTTAGGGTGTTAGGGTTTAGGGTTTAAGGGTTTAGTGGTTTAAGGTTTTAGGGTTCAGGGCCCGAAATCTTTGACTATGGCACTGGGCGCCTTAAGCAGTATTCCGGTGAAGGAGGGGCCCGCGTATAGACCTTACCTTGCGCGATTCCTGATTGAAGAACCCCTATTTAAACCCTAGACCCCGGACCGTTACACCCTAAACCCCAAACCCTAAACTCCAAACACGAAGCCCTACACCCTAATCCCTATAAGCCTTAAATCGCCGTGCGGAATAGGAGGAAGCCTTAAATCGCCGTGCGGACCAGGAGGAAGCGGGTCCGACGGTCGAGCATGAGGAGACTTCGCCGAAGCCTTACGACGAGCATCTTCGATGCAGCCAGAGACGTGGTTGACGGCTTGCAGGGCTTTAGGTTTAGGGATGTAGGGGTTTGGGGCGGTTTAGGGGTTCAGGGCTTGCAGGGCTTTCGGTTTAGGGATTTAGGGGTTTGGGGCGGTTTAGGGGTTTAGGGGTTCAGGGGTTTATAGGGGTTTAGGGGGCGGTTTAGGGGTTGAGGGTTTGGGGGTTTAGGGGTTGAGGGGTTTGGGGGTTCAGGGGTTTAGGCTAAGGGGTTCAGGGGTTCAGGGTTTAGGGGTTTAGGATTTAGGGGTTCAGGGGTTTAGGGTTTAGGGAATTAGGGTTTGGGGAATTAGCGTTTAGGTTTAGGTTTAGGACCCCGAGACCCTAAACCCTGAAACCCAGGTAATTGCTGGCCAAGGTTCAGGGATTTAGTCTAGGGGACTTAGCCAGTAAGTAGGGTTTAGGGTTTAGGGTTTAGGGTTTAGGGTACTTAAAGGATCATGGGACTTAGTAAGTAGGGTTATAATTCGGGTAACTCTACTTATAACCCCAATTAAGGGACTTATAACCTTACTTACCAAGTCCCATGATCCTCCAAGTAGTCTAAGACATTTTCAGGTGGGTAGTTAGCGTTATAGGTTATAGGAGCCTTACAAAAGGTCATATATACCTGATAGAAGCCTTATAGAAGCCCCATATACCCAAAACTCCCCACCTGTAGTTTCCTTTAACTTTGGTTCCTTATTATAATTATAGTATAATGGGCCCCAGAACCTTATTAAAATTATTACGGCCCCTACATTCCTTTAATTTAGGTCGAACCCCGAAACCCCCGGAGCCTGAGTTTGCGGCTCCGTGAGGACCTGGCGGTGGGGCATCTGGCAGAGCCGAGATGCCAAGAGGGTGCTGCACCCAGAGATGTTATACGGGTAGTTCCCTAAAGTGGGGTCCCTTTTTGGGGTTCCTTATTTTTAGTACGGCACTCTTATAAACAGGGCCCGAAAAGGGACCTTAATTTAGAGAATTACCCTTCTTCATTGTGTCGAAAAAAACCTGCTTCGTGGGGCTTCCGTATAAGGAGTCTTTACCGTTTTTTTTCGTAGGTTCGCGTGGATTTCTAGATTGGCTTTCACTTGCAGGGTGTGAGCAGGAGAATGTTGCTCCTTTATAGCTCTAGGCTACATGGCTACATGCGCAAAACCGGCAAGCAACGGCGTCGCAGTTTCAGCTTATGGCTTTTAGGGTTTAGGGTCCTCACCGTTGTCCACTTCCTCTTGCGGACTTCAGCCTCTGACGTCCTCACCTCCGAAGTTGGAACCTAAACCCTAAACCCTAAACCCTAAACCCTAAACCCTAAACCCTAAACCCTAAACCCTAAACCCAAACAAAACATGTGGGTAGATCTCTAAACTAGGGTCTCCTTGAAGGTCCTTCTTATAAGGGTGCCGTACTCTATTGGGGACTTAAAGCAGGACCCTGATGTAGAGAACTACCCATGTAGAAGAGGTCGGTACTCAAATTCGGGTTTAGGGTTTAGGGTTTACTAAAATGCATCCCCAACTTAGGTTGCACGAATACAGGGGTAGCCAAACTTTACCGCGGGTTGGGGGCTGGTTTTTCTCATAGTGTATTAATATTTGCATTTAGGCCACACCGGGGACTGATTATACAAGTCTCTCAAAGCTCTATATTGGAAGCCCGTACTCTAAACCCTAAACCCTAAACCCTAAAACCCTAAACCCTAGACCCTAAACTCTCAACCCTAAACCCTAAACCCTAACCCTCCCTCATTCCCATGCAAAAACCTCGCTGCCCTGAGGCGGCGACTGGCTACACAGATCAACTCATCTCCCACATGCCCGAGTCCTTCCGCTTCCAAAGAGAGGTCCGAACCAGGGTTTAGGGTTTAGGGATTAGGGTTGGGATTCGGATTCAGATTCCTGGGGTAGAATCGGACCTCTCGCTCGCAGAACTTCGGGTAGAAAGGACGAAGGGGTTTGGGGTAGAGGGATTTGTAGGATTTTGGGCATGGATTTGTTCAGGGTTTAGGGTTTAGGGTCGAGGGATAGCCCTGCTTAAAGGATCATGGGACTTGGTAAGTAGGGTTATCATTAGGGTAACTATACTTATAACCCCAATCAAGGGGACTTATCACCTTACTTACTAAGTCCCATGATCCTCCACGCCCTAAACCCTAAACCCTAAACCCATAAGTATAGTTACCCTAATTATAACCCTACTAAGTCCCATGATCCTCCACGTGGATTCTGGGAACCCATGTTTGGGAGTCTTCAAGGATTGCTGACAGCACCGTTGTTTCATATGGCTGGTTCTCGAAACTACGGGGTCCCCTTTTTGGGGTTTAGGGTTTAGGGTTTAGGGTTTAGGGTTTAGGGTTTAGGTATAATGCGGCACCCTTATCAAAAGGGCCCTAAACGGGGCCCTAATTTGGAAAACTAGCCATATGGTCGAGGTATCGAAGACGCTTGGTTCCCGGCGCTCACCGAAAAGCGCAGATTCCCAAACCCCATCCTCAACTCCTAAACACCGAAATCCAACAACAAAGAGAACCGAGCTCTACGAACACTAACAGCATCCTAACCCTAAATCCTAAACCCTAAATCCTAAACCCCTAAACCCTAAACCCTAAACCCCAAAGTATCCCACATCCCCAAAAGGGAAGCAGCTCCTGCAAGGTGTTGGATGGTCGGAACATCGCTTTGGGGGCCAAGCTCCTCTTGGCCCTGAATGCGGCCGCTCAGCTCGGTTGGGCCCACAAGTGAAGTCACCCAAACAAGTATAAATCAACTAGTTTACAGAACATAATTGCAAATATACATACATACATACATACATACATACATACATACATACATGCATGTCATATATGTATGTATGTATGTATGTATGTATGTATGTATGTTTGTATGTATGTATGTATGTATGTATGTATGCACATGTATGTGTGTATGCATGTATGTACGTACATACGTACGTACGTATGTATGTATACGTGTATGCTTGTTTGTTTTTACGCATGTATGTGTGTGTGTATATATATATATATTTCTACACACACGCATGTCTGAACCACGGGCTCAGGCGGTTTCCGGTGTAGGGTTTTCGGGGTTTGGGGGTGTCGGGAGTTTAGTACAGCAGAACCCGACCGTACTGAGTTATCAGCGCCCCTAAACGTCACTCGAAGATGGTTGGATTGTGGCCAAGTCTGTGGCCTGGTACTAAGAGCATGTTGCCCGAAGTCTTAGGCCTGTTGATGGTATCGAAGTCCATAACCAGTAGCCGAACCCCTTATTCCGCTTCAGCATTTAGACTTAAACCTTCATTCCCTGAGCCCCATAATTACTTTCCATGTTGAATCTGTTCTTCACATCCCGTTTAGGCTTCGATTTTCCTGGCGTACGTGCTGATTTGGCTTTTGCGCCTCGGCCAAGAATCTGGCAGAACTAAAGCACGGAAGTGACAGGGTCAAGCCTCCAGCTCACTGACTTGGGTTGAGAGCTTTTCCAGAAAAAACGGATCTCTCAATATCAACCCTGAACCCTGGCTTAGAATCCATACTTGGAGGATCATGGGACTTAGTAAGTTAGGTTATAAGTCCCTGAAATGGGATTATAAGTATAGTTACCCTAATTATAACCCTACTTACTAAGTCCCATGATCCTCCAAGTAGGCACGGCAACTCAAGGATCGTCACGCAGCTCGCTGCCTTGTCAAAGTCTTCCAGGGCCTTGAGCGGCAGTCGGA